CCTCCATATGTCAGGATGGGGTTAGTTCTGCCTATGTACTCAGAAGTAGGCCAGCATGAATCTGCATGAATGGTTGAGGAGGTGGAGGGAGTGCTCCTGGGACTCCAGAAAGGGATGTGTTGTATTGTGGTTAGTGAGTACTAATGTATCTGTAATTAGCCATTGACATGTGCTCTTGTAGCTGTGCTAGTACTGCTTTGTTAGAACAGTAGCACTAAATAAGCTATGAATATTAAGTGTCAGTAATTGTACAAAACTAAAGGCTGCTGTGTCGGTAGTAATTAGCAGCTCTGTTTTCATTATGGCTGGGACTATGTTGATGCAGTGAGGAAGGGCTGTACTTGATGGATGGAGTGAGAGATGGCGTTGTAGGACCAGAACTCTCAGCAGCCAAGTGGAGCTCGGTTATTTCACAGGAGGGGAAGGAGGGGACGATCCTAGCTGCTTTTGTACAGCGTGAAGTGCTGTTCATTTGCAAAGCTCCATAGGACAGCTATTACTGATTCTAGTAGGTTTGTGGTGAGTGATTAGATTGCTGCTTGCTGCTGCTGGCAGACTTTCTAAATTCTTCATTAAGGCCTTTCCATTGCCTGCAATGACAGTTTCATCCTCTCAAAAACTTGGGGGGAGGTAGGTTTTCCCTAATGACCTGTCTCCTTCCAGCAAATACTGAACTGAATCTTGAGTGAAGCTAGACTTAACAAGTTTGTTTCCATGGAAATCTCTTAGGCTTGAAAGTTGCTGTACCTTAAGGGCTGTAGAGTTTTTAAGGTGAATGAATGCACTGGTCTTTTTCTAAGGCATCCCTTGGACAGAATATCTCTGTGTGGCTCCCACTGCAGGCACAGCTGTCTCTGTAGTGCACTTTGTGGCTAGGATGGCTAGTTCCTTCCCCTCCCCTGCCAAACTAATCTTGCTCTCCTCTCTGCCCACAGTGTCTGCCATTACAGCCGCCTCTTCTGGGAGTGGGGGGAAGGTGTCAAAGTGCACGACTCTCAGAAAAGGCAAGATCCAGAGAAGCTATCAAAGGAGGATGTCCTGTCTTTCATCCAAGCACACTACCCCTAACCCTGCTCTCTTGAGGGATGCAGGGGAAGCTGAGCCCATCTTGGATTCTTCAGGGAGTGACGAGACTGTGGGGAGGCTCCACAACTTCTGTCCTGGTCTTCTCCAGAGCTGATTTCCGGGAGATGATCTAACCAGGGGGTGGTATGCAGAAGGCACAGGACGAGGCTCTACCCTGGCAGTGTATATAAAAGTATGGCCCAGGTAGCGCCTGCTTCCGGAGTACCTATGGTGACTCCTGGAGCCAAGGCCTAACGCCCTTTTGTCCTGACCTACTGCATGCATGAGGCCAAGGGGCTGGCAGCTTTCTTTGCTCCTGTTCAAGCATTCAGCGAGGTTCGCGGAGCTCTGTGTGTGCCAGAACTCTCCAGGCTTGTGCTTCCCTGGCAGTGTGGGAAGGAGCAGAGATGTCTTGGTGGCAGAGCTGGGCAACAGCACATTGAAGTGGCCCTGCATTGTTCCTGGCAGCTGTCTGTCTCCTTGGCCTTGCCAAAGGCCTACACTACCCAGTGGAGGGTGTTAACTCATTGGGGAATGCTAGCTTTGGGATGCAAGCAATTATTCTTGATGGTGCCTCCAACACTTCTGCTTGTCAAGGCACTTGGTTGGCCACTGGCAATTCCTATGTGATGGTATCCTGTCGGACAAAGACCAACGCAGGTGATAAGTAGAGTTACTGGCACAGATTTGATGTGCTCAGTGCCAGGACTTTCTCAGACCTCTAGAAGCTGCTGTGACAGGAATTTCCCATCGCCAGGTTAGTGACTTGATTCTGAACCAGCAGCCTGGGGTTAATTTGTGAACGTGTCAATGCCTCGTGGTACTTCTGAGACCAAGGTGCTTTGATTCTTGATACTCAACAGTATTACCCAAATTTTCAGGGAGGACAGCGGAAGTGGGAGGGAAGACACAGGAAGACTGGGATGCTGGAGGTCTTTGGAGGAAATCATGGGAACGTCTGACTTTGTTAAAAAAATCCCAGGGCTTCAGCGAAAAGAGATCTTGACTTTGACCATGTTGGTTAATCAGAAGAAATCCTGTCCCCTGACTGCCCACTGGAAAGGTTACCAGACTTTCCTTTTTAAATGTCAGTGTGGGCTTTGAAACCCTACACGTCTCATTTGGCCCTAGAGCATCTGGGGTGAAGGCATAGAGCTGTGAAACTCTCAGCATGGTATTTGTGTGTCAACAGACTTCTCCATGCACTTCTGTGCTGCGCTCAGAGTTGTCTTCTGTTGCATGTTTTACCTTCACTTCTATGCTTCCATGGCACTTTTGCCAGGTCTTCCACTTAAATCAGAAGATAACACACAGTTGACAGCTGACTGCTTTTCACCAAGCAGCAAAATTGCCCTTTTTTTTTTGTTCTTGGCTTGTTTTTTAAACAGATTGGCAGTAGGGAGGAAACTGATTTAGGGGTTGTCTGAACTGTGCCTTAAAGAAAGCTATAGTTCTCTTAGAATCTATAGCAGTTGTTTAGATTCTCGTTTCTTTCTTTCCACACCCGTATGTATGATTTGAACAAGCTTTATGCAGCAAGACATAGAAATTTTCACTTGTAGGTGTATAGGTACGTGGGTGCACTGCATCCCACCCAAAGAAGCCAGAACAAGGATGGCATGTTGTAGAAGACCCACCTCTACCCTCTAAGGCCCAGCATCACATGTAGGTTTTGTGCTTGTTCTCAGCACACAGTTGAATGTCATCCCACAATTTAGGCTGTGCTCTCTGAGCTCGGACCACTTCTATGTCTTCACAAGCAAATCGTCTCCATATACCCACGTATTAATTCTCCACAGTTTGGTATAAATGAACTTAGTAGCTGCAACTCCTTGCACCAGAGAAAATTATACGCAGGTTTGATCACTGTGGAACCACACTCCTGGCTAAAGGAGCAACACAGAAGTTGGCATGGTCTGTAGGTCAATGGAAACTGGAGGAGGCAAAGCTCAGGAGCAGATGGGAGGTTAGTTTACAAATACGTAGCCCTGAATATTGTGCAGGGCAGCTATTCTGTTTCTTTTGAAGTTCTGGCCAAAAGTGAAGTGGGTTAAACCTGCTTTTTCCACATCAGTGATAATTAGTCCCCAGACAGAGTTAGGTCTACCAAGGCAGTTGAGGGGCAGCACGCTGTTAATGCAATGCATCCTCTTGCTGACCTGTACACCCCTCTCCTCTCAAGCATTGGTAAAACATATATGAAAGAAATGGTAGCCCTTCCCCCCCAGAGAACAAGAGGCCTGTCACTGGCAGTTCTGTTTTGGCAAAGGCACTTCCACGAGGGATGAGGAGGAATCTCTCCCAGTGGGCAATAAAGAACCTCCAACTGTGTGGTTTCCAGGCCTGTGTGCAGCTGGCTTTTTAAACCAACCAGTGATTTGAGTTCTGGCACTTCTTCAGACTGCCTTGAGGCTGTTCCAATGCCAGCAAAGCATGCCGCTCCCTTTGCGAGGCTCGTTTGCTAAGTGTTATGTCCTCTGCTCAGGTCTTCTGCGGGCTGGCAGACAGAAGGGTGACTAGGAAGTACACTAGGGTGAGTGTAGGCCTGACGGTACAAAAAAACCTGCTTAATCTGCAGGCTAGCTTTTATGAACAGATACTTTCTGTTTACCCAGTTGCCTCCAGCTCCTCCTGATTTTAATTTGCTTTTATTTTTAATTTTATGTTGATGCACTGAACCTTGATTCTGAAGCCCCCTTCAAGGCGGCAAGCATGAGCCACCACGCTACTTGCTTCCCTGCTGCAGAGTAAATACGGAGGGATTATGTTGGGAAGGGGGGTGAGGAAGGTCTTGCTGAAGGGAATGTTTATGTACATTAATTGCACAATGTATTGTTATTAGGCTGTGTATCATTTTGTGTTGACTTCTCTGCTTTCATTGTCTCTATTACCAATACAGCCCCTTTAGTTCACAACTGTGCTTGTTTACTTTGCTTCCAACAAAATTCTGGCCAGCAGTGTGTTAGCATGGAGACAGAGGAATGCTTTGCACAAGTTAAATTTTCAAGGCAGTCCCCTTTTAAAGGCTTTCCTGGCAAGTTAGAGCACACTCAGGGCTACCTAGTGTATGCCACTGGATCAGACTGAAGGGATTACAAAGGACAGTCTCCAGCACTCCTCTGCAGCGTGCTAGGCTGCTTGTCCTCTCAAAGGAAGCAAACGCTTAGGTAGATTCCAGGCCACAACAGGCCAATAACCCACTGCTGAGACCTCACTGACCAGGGACTGACCAGTGCCTAACCCAGTCTAGGCTTACTGTGGTGCAGTGTGTGCTAGCAGGGAGATGGTAGGATGAGAATAAAGCAGTGGCTGAGAGGTATGTTACAAAATGGGAAAAAAATTAAAACGGGAAGTTACAAGGTCAAATTATTTTATTTAAAGCTCTGCAGAGGCACTTCCATCCCGGGGAGTTAACAGTAAATTCTCTTCTGCAAGTGTTGATTCTCAGAGGCACAAAATGGCTACCAAACTCTGATGAATTGGAGACTTTCTCAAAGCCCAAGCACCCAGAAGATCTCAAGTTGGATGCTACCTGCTTGCAGAAAAAGTTACCTACCTCCCATCTGTTTTTGTGGAGGTAGTAGGACTCCTTTGGTCCTGTAAGTCATTTCTGTTTAGCTCAGCTCTGGGGATAGGTGGAGTCATCTTTCGGTCACAATACCCACGTTACCCTTTGATTCAAAGAGCTTGGTGTCCCTTCAGCTTATGGCTGAGTCAGAGGAACCAAGAAGGTGGCACATATTCTGACTGGGCTGAGCAGAGAGCACTTGTCTGCAACCACAGAGGTCCTCTTCAAAAGGGAGAACATACTGCCTTCCTGCTTCGGGCTGGATGGTCTTGACTGTGTTTTGGGTAAGATAGCACCATCTTGAGCTCTGTTTGACCTGATTTCCAACTGCAAGTGTACTGTGATTTCTGGTTTGTCTCCTGTCCCCCTCAATTCTCAGAGAAAAAGCTTCCCCACAATGAGGCTTGGAGAGGATAAACAAGAATAGCAATTTGAAATGCTGATCCTCACCCTTGGGGGAGGCACAGCGGTGAGAGGAAGAAGAGCTCCTTGCAGCAGAGTCATTTGGTCAGCAGGGAGATTTCTTGAGTGCAATCACATCGTCCAGCAGATGTAAATAAGAGCAATCAGTAACCCCATGGCCACAGCAAGGGCGGCATTCTTGCGATTTTCTTTACGAAGCGCACTCAGTTCTTTCTCTGGAAAAACAAAAGCAGAAGCCTTGCCTGTGAATGTTCTTTGTATTGCAGCTACATATCCCTTCAAAACCATCTTAAAAGCAGAATGCTACCTTGACCATGGGCAACTCTTTTGGGATCAGTATACAAAGCTGCTAATAATAAGATGTGCTGAACAGGAAGTAAACTAGCGGGAACCCTTTCATTTGCTAACTCTCATCCTGTCAATCCCAGTAGCTGTGCTACAGAATACTTCAGTGCCAAACCAGTTACTGTTTGCATCTGACCCTGTTCTAGGACCCTACTAAGGATAGAATGGGTCATTAGAGTAATTCCTTGTTCCCTAAGAGAACGAAGAAGACAAAAGGTAGAGGGCTATTTTTACTATACAGCCTGGTACTTTTTCCTAGTGCTTAAATTTACTTAAATACAACTGTGGCCACCTTTGAATGTTGCAGAATATGATTTTCCTTGTGCCCCATAAGGATGAGTGTGGAACAGGTCTGAGCCTGGATACTCATTCTGTTGGAGTCCACAGCTTTTTAGAGAAAGGTCACTTTTCCTGGCCCTGGTTCACAAAAGAAGAAACAGGGATGCAGAGAGAGGAAGGAAATAGCTACCAAAAATATGGAGTTCCACTGATCTCTATTTCTGTTCTGTTCCTTATACGGAATGGATGGGAACCCCCTTCTCGCTAGTTCTGTTCCGCAAGACTTTGCTTGATAGTATAGGCAAGAAATGAGGCTCTACAGCATTACATGGCCAAACAGTAATTATTTTGCAGGGTGAGGTTGGGTGCGGACTGTCTCCAGAGCCAGACTGCTCTTACTGCTGAATTCAGCTGCAGTGACTGCACTGGTTACTGCCTCTACGGTTTGCACTAGCAGCCTCCAGGGGGAATGCCCTGGTGCTGCAGGTTCCCCAGCTGGTGCTGGTATCAAAACAGGCTTTTAGCTGTTCTTTCTGCCCCTGTTCTTCCACGTGCTACAAGCACTCTCATGCAACCACAGTAAAAGCTGCTTGAATCTGCAAGAGGAGGTGGTAGGGGCAGGAGGCCACATCACCCCAAGCACAGTAGTGCCAACTTAAACTGAAAGAGCAATGCCATTGTCAGCAACTGCAGTTCATGGCCTCAAGTGTGTCAGCTGGAATAAGCAGAGATTTCATCAGAGGCCATAGCAGTGATCTAAAAAGGCTGTGTGCGCTGCCTCTTCTCTTCCAGGAAGAGCAGCCATCACCATTAGGTGAGGCTGTTGCTGCTGTCTGAGCAGCCTGTCAGACTGCTGTGTTGATGCTAGCAGTGACAGCTGACTGCTGGTAAAAGGGTGGCAGTGTTCTCTAGTGGTAGGCCCTTAGGGAACAGCTTTGAATCTGTTTAAAATAACTGTTAGTCTTCTGGAAACAGTCCTTTAACATGAGTTAAAATTATAAATTTGCTGGCCATGCCTCAGCTTTCAACTCTCCAGGCCTAGAAGGACAATTCTCCTGCCTTCCCTTGCGTGAGGCTCTGGTGCTTGCACTGCTGCAGAGTGCTGTGAAGCAGTTAACACACTGATCAATGCCAGGAGCTTGAAGACATGCAAAGCAGCATCCCCAGCAGAATGGAAGTGCTGTCAAACGTGCATAGCTCAGAGGGACTCTCATTTCAACTGTCTACAGCAGGACTTGCAGCAAGGAAAGACCCTGGCTCTCTGGAATTGCAGACAGCACATCAGCGTGAATTCCTATGCTTTGTGTTCTGAAGGGCCCCAGAAACTGATGCAGTGAGAACCTTGCCTGAGGAAGGTATGCTTTGCTACGCTCCAGATACATGCTTGCTAAGCAAGCTGGCAAGTGCTATTAAAAAAACAAAAGGAAAAGAGAAAAAGGACGTGGGGATGTTAAAAGCCACTCAAGTCAATCTGTTGGCTAAGATTTTCTAAAGACTGGTAATTTGGGGTATGTGAAAGGGAACTTTTTCCCCCCTCATTAGCTGATTTTTATTTTTTCCCTATGATAGCACAGCTCAAGCGGGATGATCCAGACTCCTATTATAATATGCTGACTAGATTTCCCTCAGTCTAGCTCCCTTTGGTTGAACTTAAATTCAAAGGCAGAAGTCAGAGGTGGCAGGAGCTTGAAGAAGCAGCTAAGCTGCAGCACTGATCCCATCTAGCCCAGAGGGACTATTTTTAATGAAGCTCTTACCATAGTTGTCAGCTTTGGTCATTAGTAAGTTTCTCTCTCTCTCCAGTGACTTTCTGTAATGAGAAGAGGAGCTCATTACCTGCAAGGCACAACACAGTATCTTTCTTTGCTTATATGATGGACGAGAGATTGTCCTACTACCAAGGATACCTGCTCACAGAATGAGCCCCTCACCCTTCACTGTGGAGAGGTGACAGTTTAGAAACCCCCAGCTGTATAAAAGAAGAGATGCAGCAGTTTTAGATTACTTTTTCTTCCCCCAGACAGCTTCATGTCTCTCCTTTCAGGACAATGTCAGTGTATGCAAGCAGGCTAGAAAGGGGCCTGTGTGTCAGAGCCCCCTGCTCTGCTCCCCCAGGTGGGGTAGGAAGTTCTGCCACAGCTATG